TATTAAATTATATTGATATTAATTATATTTAGAATTTGTATCAATTATAATTGAAATATTTATATAAAAATTATGATTTTAGCTGGCAACAGCTATTGGCGTCATAATATGGACAAAACTTGAATCTCATAATAATGATTCAGCTTTATGGTAATGTCTATTATTTTCTATTTTTATTTTATTTAATATAATATGTTAAATATATTAACTTATATTATTAATATAATTATTAAAAATATTAGAATTTATATTATTGCAATTTATAACAATTATATATATATTAATTATAATATATATATATAATATTTATTATAGGTATATTCAATTTATTTTAATTACTATGGGAGTATATGCAAGTCGTATTTGGACTATGGCAATAGCTGCAACTTTGTTATATTTAAGTTCTCGTTCTTTGGATTTTGTTTATAATATTCAAAAATGGTTTTATCCTATAGGATGGGGGTATGATAAATATTTTGTCCTAAAATTAATATAATTATATAAATGTATAATTATATACAATTAATACTAAAAAAAGATAATATAATTAATATATTTTTTCAGAATTCCATTTTTAATAGCAATTATCATGTGTAGCACTATATCTTCAAAGGAATCTGAACTTGAGTTTAGAAATCCAAATTTTCAATTTGGTACCATTCAAGCTGGAATTTCTATTTTTATATTAACATTCTGCTTTATTGGTAAGGAATAAAATATATTTTATCAAATGAAATAAGAAATAATTTTTTATTATATATTTTTTTTTACAGTAACAATAGGCTGTTTGATTTTACAACAGAATTATCATCGTCAAAATATTTTAACATCTTATTCTAATTTAATAAATAATGTTGAAAATTCTAATAACGATGATAGTGAAGGACAGATAGTAGATGTTGAAGATTTGATTTCTTCAACTTCTAATACTCCAATGTAAGTGATTCATATAATAAATTAAAAAGAGTAAAACTTTTTTTTAATTAACATATTAATTTTATTAGCATTGGTTGTGAATATATAGATGATTGTCCAAATAGAATATGTAGAGGCTATAGTAATGAAATTAATAATTGTGATTTATACATAGATGTTGAAAATGAAAGAAATGATCCTCAACTTTTACGACATCTTATATTCGTTATTTTACTTCTATGCTCTATGTTTATAGTAAGTACACTATAAATATATACTATATACTATATATATGCAATATATTCAAAAGATAAAATTATATTTTATTATAAATATTTTATAAAGGGTTTATCCATATCAATTGGAACATTATTAATGGAACAATTAACGGGAATTTATGCAGAATTAGCATTTTTGGATGTTGCTTTAAATTTTGGCCAATCATTAATCACATTTGCTATTTTTGGATTAGATACTGATCTTGGGAAATTAGGATATTGGCTACGAAAAATATGTCGAAAATGGCGTACTGGTACAAAATTATTTTTATTATATATATCTATTTTTAAATAGAAAATATTTATAATTAAAATATAATTTGCTATTCTATTTTATAGAAAAAGAATTACAACTTCCCCCTGAAGATGCATTAAGTCCAGAAGTGAAGGCTATTAGGGATCAATTTAATCGTTGTTATTTAACTGAATGTCGTGCTCGTATAGCCATATGTCGTAGACGCTTATTAAAGGTATATAAAGGTGTTTTCACTGGAACTGATTTAGTTAATTGGTTGCTCGAAGCCAATATTGCGCAAACTAGAGAAGAAGCCATTCAATATGGTCGTAATTTATTAGAAAGTAGAGTGTTACAGCATATTAATGGTACCCATCATTTTTGTGATCAAAATTTACTTTATATTTTTAATGCCTAATTGTACACCTTGGTAAAATTTTATAAAATGATTATTTTTACAATTCTTTTGAAATGTATTATCAAATATTAATTTTTTAAAATGCTATAAATTGGAATATCTAACAGTAAAATTTTTTACTATATATTTCGTATAACATATTATCTAAGATCTTTCAAGGTGGAATATAACTTTTTAATATTTTTTTGTATATTTTTTTAATTAATTTATTCAATTATAGTATTATTGATTAATATTTATTCTATAGAATCATTTTTCATCTGGCTGTGCTTTTTCCGTTTTCTGTAATTATAAATGCTACATATATTTAATGTTATAGTCTCAATCCTATAGAAGAAAGTGATAACAATTCATTGAATGAAAAACCAAAGAGATAAATATTAGTATTCTATTTTTAAATTTACTATTTAATCATTATTATATGCAGTATTGTTTTGTACAAAATATCTATTTTCTTATAAATTTGAAATTTATTGTTAATAAATTTAGAAATATGTTAGAATAAAAGATTTATTATACATTAAATTTTATTATCACAATAAAATAATAAATAAAATATTATAAATAATATTTTTGAAAATATATTATAGAATAAAAAATAAAATTTTTTGTTTGTAATAATAGTAGTTTTTTTAATGTAATTTTTTAATTTTATAATTTGAATATATATTAATAGAATGAAATATAATAATATAAATAAATTAGAAACATAAATCATCATCTGGATCTTCCTCATCAATATCATCTATATCTTCTGGTTGATAATTAATTTTAGATATATTTATATTTGGATTAAATATGTATGGTAATATTATTTCTTTTTTCTGTTTTATTTCATTTTCATTTATCTCTAACCTGAATGAAGATTCAATTTGATTCAATTTCTCACATCCTGAATCTAATTTTTTGCTTTGTTCAAGTTTTTGTGACTGAATTTCATAAGATATGATATTTTGATTTACTATTTCCTGTTGTTTCAAAATTCCTCCATTTATTTTACGATGCACAAATTCTACTATATAATTAAAATTCTTGTTTATCATTGAATTAGAAAATTTCTGTATTTTTACATATGTACTTCCTAATGTTTCAATGCAAGGTATTTTAATTTGGACAAAATCACGTTTATAAATACAAATTACTTGTGATACTTGTTTGCTTAATTTCTTTAAAAACCACATAGTTTTTGATAAACCAATAAATAAAATTAAAGATGTCAAACAATCAATAATCACTATAGATTTTTCATTTGTAGTTTTTAAAATATATTCTAATCTATGAAAATCTTTTTTAGCAATATTATTTATATCAAATTCATTAATATTAATAGTATAATAATCAGAAATATGTATGTTACTTGATATGAAAATTTTATGTTCATTTTGATATGAAGATTTTGGATTGGAAAATAATAACAAATTGAATACACGATTAACATCATTCTCTTTCCACATTTGTATCCATCCTGCAATTAGTATTTTTGAATATATCGCATTCACTCCTAAAATATATTTATTATTTATTACCAATATAATTACATATTATTTATAAATATATATATATATATATTATTTTTTAATTATAACATTTAAATTAAACCATAGTTTTGCAAAATATTTTTCTCATATATATATATATATGTATATATTTTATTGTAATATCACCAAACCTTCATCAAGAATAATTAATTTTGCACCTTCTAACAAAGGTAACATTTTTATAGATATCATATTGTGTTATAAATAAGAACACCTATGAAATTAATATAATAATTGTAACTATATAACGATGAGTAAATGTTATATTATTATTAATGAAGTAAACAAATTTGAATTAAAAATATAATTAAAAATATAATTATTAAGAATGAAGATTACATTTATAAGAAATTCATCTCTTTAAATGTTTCTTTAAAAAACTTAATTTTAAATTTTTAATTTTGAAACAATTTGATGTTTCTTATTTATATCTCAGAAATTGAGCACAAACTAAGCGATAACATAGAAGAATGTGTATATTGTTAAATTTGAATATGATCAATTCAGGGAATTTTATCTTTAAATTATCTTCAATAAGATTGAAATTGGTCCTCGACACGACAATTGATAGATGTCGCTGTATTGACTCTGAAAAGGGTGCGGTACACGGTAATCGCCATACTGGACGAACGTGACCAAAGACAGAGCGAAAATGAATACTAGAGTGTGTGTCATATCAAAGCTATTTCACTCATAACAGAGGGTTTATTTTGACAGTGTGATTTGCAAATGACCCACACGATGTCTAATATATCGGCTGAACCCTAAGGGAAACCAATAAGTGTCAGTCTATACGTGTGACTGCGTAAGATCAGAAATATCGCAGCTCGGGTTTCCTTGCAACGGGTTGTCGCTGCATGTGTCACTGTGAGTGCAGCTTGTGCTTCAGTTCCGAACCTCATTTTCTTTGTTAACATTTACGTGCGTATTATTAGCAGTGTACTTGTGGTGGAATAGATGCAATATTAAGGTAACTTTTTTGAATTACCACCGATGAGTTTGACCGTGTTGTGCTCTGTTCGGTGCTGCTCCTTCAACTAATCGCGTGTGTAATGCCCGGGAGTCGCTCTAGCACGGACCCAGAGCACAAGTCACCGCGGGAAAGTGGTGAAGATTCAGAAGATGAGAGTGAAATCCTGGAAGAGAGCCCCTGCGGGCGGTGGCTCAAACGCCGCGAAGAGGTATGTTTTTTTTTTAATTTATTTATATTTATATCTTGTTTATCAGTTTGACTAGAATTTTATTCTGATTAATATTATTTTAAATATTTAGTTTAACGTTGTTCTTTTCATAGAAATTATAAAATTCTACATGTTATTTCTATGAAAGAAATAATAGAATAAACAAAAAATGTAAGAATAAAAAAAATTTTTTATTGTAATATTATTTATTCGTATAGATTTCAATTTGGATAAACTATTAAGATGTTTGTATAAATTATGAGATAAATAGCTTAAAACATTGGGATATAAATGTAATTTATGTAATTTTGTTTTATGTCTAATTTAAAAATATGTATATGAGACATTTTTTTGCATTGAATAGATAACGTAAAGATTATTAAATATTCATATAGAAAAATCAGAAACTTATAAATTAAAAACTATTTGCTTTATACTTTATTTTGCTTTTCATCTAATATTTGTTTCTAATATTTGTTTCTGAAGCAATAAGAAAAAAATTTCTATTTAATTTGTTACGTATTCAAATCATATATATATATACTATGATTTTAATATATAAAAATAATCTTCTTATAATATTTATATAAATAATAATCTTTCTATTTATTTTTTAAAAAATTAAAAATTAGTTTTCTTAATTTGTGTAAATATAAATTTTTTCTGAATTATAAATATAGATTATAATAATTTTTTGATATTAAAATTAACAAAAGTATTTTTTTTTATATTTCATTCTAAAGATGATTTTCTAAAATTAATTGTAAAGTTAAATTGTTAATTAATTAAATATTTATAAAATTGCTTTATTCTATCAAATTATTTTATTATTCTATTTGAAGACAAGAATTTAATAATAAAACAATGGAAATGTTTTATTTATGCTATTCAATAATTGTTTTATGTTTATTATATATTTTATGTTAGGTATATGTAGGTTCTAAATCCACATTAGCCGAAGGCTCTACATTTGGAGCAGCCAGAGGCAGTGAAAACGAAGTTACTGAAATGGAGGTATGTCTATTTTAGAAAAAACAAGTTATTTCTTTTAGTTTATGTAATTTTATTCAAAATCTTAATTAAAAAAATGTTTATTAAAAAAATTAAAGGAAAACTATATATTTTATTTGAATATATTAAAATATAAAACTATATAAAACTATATATTTTTTTGAATATAGAATATAGTTTTATTTTAATATCATTATCACATCATTAAATATTTTTTAATCTCTGTCTATAAATTACTTCCCGTTCTTAAATTAGGAAGCAAGGTCATATTAATTTAATGATAAATAAGTATGAAGTTGTTTGATTTATATTTTAAATAACTTCAAAATAGATGATTGCATAATGTGTTTTACTATCATTACTATATATTTATGTACTATATATCTATAGTTTCTTTGAGATATATTAATAATCTGATTTTATTTTTATCATATATAATTTTTATACATTGTAAATAATATATTTTTATAATGAAGTAAACTTTATGTATTTTTACTTTAAGTTTTTCATAAATAATTATATGAATAAAATAAATAATAATTTTCTAAATAATATTATTTTCTTTTAGGTGGAACAACGTGATGTACCAGGAATCGATTGTGCCTATTTGGCAATGGATACAGAAGAAGGTGTTGAAGTTGTTTGGAATGAAGTGCAATTTTCAGAAAGGAAAAACTTCAAAGCACAAGAAGAAAAAATACAACTTGTATTTGAAAATCTTACACAATTGGAACATCCTAATATTGTTAAATTTCATAGGTATTGGACAGATACCCATAATGATAAACCTCGGGTATGAAATAAAAAAATTAAAGTTTAAATTAATTTTGAATTTTTAAATAAATATGTTATTTATTATAATTTTATTTATTTTACTTATTAGGTCATATTTATAACTGAGTATATGTCTTCTGGGTCTTTGAAACAGTTCCTAAAAAGAACAAAACGTAATGTCAAAAAATTACCCTTGCAAGCATGGAAACGTTGGTGTACTCAAATACTTTCTGCTTTAAGGTAATATGAAAAAGAAATTCTTTGTATATCATAAGTCTTTTAAATTATATTGCTTATTTATTTATGTATTTTTCTTATAAATATATTAATCATTTTTAACTTTTCAGTTACTTGCATTCTTGTTCACCTCCCATTATTCATGGAAATCTCACTTGTGACACAATATTTATTCAACATAATGGACTTGTAAAAATTGGTTCGGGTAAGCAATTATTTCACAAAATATAAACAACTTTTTATTCTATGAGAAAAATTTTATGTACAAAAAAATATATTAATGTTTCTCTACTTATACATCAAAATTGTTAACAATACTTATTATATCATAAAGCTAATCATAGATATTCAAGATTTATTTCTAAATGAAATCATGTATTATATTAGAATAGGAATTTGCAAGACATTTTTCTTTTTTCACAGGACTATAGAAAAATTAATAGTTTTATTTGTCATAGATGAAAATTTTATTTTTCATGGATGAAAATTATAAATCATAATATAGGATTATAAATGTTAAAATATGACAAAGTATATATATTGCCATTATGTCTGTTTTCTTAATATTCATGCAATAAGTTAATTCATAATAATATTCATAATAATATTATAATTATTATATTTTAATTAATTAATTTCTATTTTAATTTATGACGTTGTGTGTTATTTAATAATTAAATTGAACAAACAGATATCTGAATATTCTATTATAAAATATAATAATGTGTGAAAAAGCTATAATATATTTATAATGAAAAAAGTTTTCTATACTATAATTTAGTATTGTTATAATCAAAAAGAATAGATTATCATTTAATCTAATAAAAAAATTAATAATATTTGAACAAGAATTATTCTTTAAATAAATTTTAATAATAAACTTTATGTGAAAAAATTGAGATATTGTTTCTATCAAATATTGCTAATAATTTTGCATCAGATATTCAGAATCATTTTATATTATTGTTATCATTGTAATATTTATAATCTCTCTTTCTTTCTTTTCCTCTTCCTTCTCTCCCTCCCACTTCTTCCTCTCACTTTTATCTAAATATAATTTCTTTTTTTATTCTATATATTAATAAGATAAAACTCTTGGAAAGATTGTGTATAAATTACATTTTATATATTAGAAATAACTTGAGTCCTCATTTTTAATTATAGCAAATAGACTAATCTAAATAATGAAAAAAACACAGCAAAGTCTTCAAAGAGAGGAAGTACTATCGTACTTTCATCTATCCAGAGAATAAAATCAATTAATAACAACGACTTTTGGTATAAATGAAAAAATGATGAATTTGAAGAAAATATATTTGGCAGATAATCATCGTATATTACCAGCTAAGTAATTTAGACATATAAAGGTAAGTATTATCTATATATATCTGTAATATCTATCTGTAAAAATGCGCGCGCGCGTATGTGTTTACATTTTGATTGTCATTTATATAAAGATATTCACAATTTATTTGATTTTAATATAATTTATTTAATATAGTGTATTTCTTTATCTTTTGAGTAATAAAAAAAAAGATAAAGAATTTAAAATATTTTTTGTTTTTTATGATTACTATTATTACACGCATTTTTCATTGTGATTTAACTTTTATGTTTTTGTTCATTAATAAAACAAATTTTATTTTTCTTGTTTATAAAATAATTTTATCATATGAATTATTTAAAAATAAACTATATAAATTATTTTTTTATTGTTCATATTATTTATTTTATGCATACATATGTACATGCGAATATGTGTGTGAGGACTCAAGTTACTCATAGGATAATTTTTCAGTTACAACACAATTTTTCTAACAATTTATGTATTAATTTAATTATATGTTATGCAAAAATTAATTATATATTATGAAAAATATTCAAAAAATAAAAAAAAACATTGTATGAATTGTATTTTTTTAATTAATTTTTAATTGAAAAAATATAGAATTTCTACTACTTAAATAAAAAATACTACTATTTAAATAAAAAATTTTAACTTATTACTTTTTAAATACT